TTCCTCCAGAATTGTAAAATTGTTTGACGCTGGGTTTCTTGCTTAGATGAAGTCATTTTAATGCTTAATAAATTAAATTTTTTACTAACGTATGAGAAAAGTTTCGTATGGAGGCGATAGAGTAATCATAAGGCTTTCATTTGCATATTTATTTATGTATGTACGACCAAAATTGGGCTAGTTACACTTGTCGATCTTTTTTAAAAAAAATTGTCATTTTTTTTTGCACACCACTGTATATGTTGTACGAACCTATAATTTTACACTTGAAATTTTTATGGGTAGGTAACTTTATTGAATAGCCAATCACATGCGAATGGATCTTTATTTTGATCCTGTAGAATCTTTTTCTTGGAGAGAAAAAAAAATGAGTGAACACACTGAAACTTTTGTAAATAATATTACAAATAACATTAACAATAATTCGTTACAAAAGGAAATTTCTGATTTCATTAGGTTAATTAATGAGCTAAAATTAAAAATTAAAGAAATAAAAGAACAACTTGCCTCAACTATAACAAAGTAAAGTTTATTCAATTCAAATTAGTTTTGCTAAAAAAAGTCCTTTCAAGTTGCTTATTTTTTTTTTTTTTTTAAAAAAAAAAAAAAAATAATTTCTCAAATTAGAGCGAAAAACCATGAAATAAAAACAAATCAAGGAATATCATTACTTGAAATAAAATATCATACATTATTGGAATATATTACTTCTTTAACTTTTATAATTTATATGAAATTAAATGGCCAATCAATACAAAACCATCCTGTTATTGAAAATTTAATTGAACAAAGAATTGTTATAGAAAAGTTAAAACCTTTAGAACAAAAATTAAAATATCAAATCGATAAATTAATTAGAGCTACTATCGTTGATAACAATGATGATATCAAGTTGAACAATAATAATATAAGTGGGAATAGTTTGACATGTAAGTTGATGTGAAACCGGAAGAAGTGAGGTGGCAAATTAGAAATCTGTTAATTAAATATATTTTGGTTGAATTATTAGTGTCTGATCCTTTGTCATTCAAACCGAACCCACAGAATCTTGTAACTAAATTTGATGGAACAAATAATGGTAAGTTCATTTATGTCTTTGATCACAAAATAATAAATATGATGATTATAATTATAATTATTATTATCATTTAGATGCGGAAGTTGGTTCGAACACTGGAGTTTACAAAGCACCAAAATTGGCTCCAGTACATTTTGAAGAAGACAAAGGTATTCATCAATTTTAAAACAATTATATTTTGTATATAAAGTTAATGTCTCTTCTTTTAAACTCATTTAGATGTCAAATCTAAACGAGAACAAGAAGAATCAAGATTATCATCAAGAGCGTCAAAATCTCGTTTAATAAAAGATTTAATAGATGAATACGATGATCGTCCTGAAGAATCAAGAATAATAGGTTCTACCAACAATATTCCAGATACTCAAAATAATGACGATATTGAATTAGAAGAAAGATTACGTTATGAAGAAGAAAACTTTATTAGATTAACTCTTTCTAAAAAAGATTTAAAGAAACTAAAGAAGAATAAAAGATTTGAAGATGAATTTGAGGTATTTCCTTCTTTTTTTTTTTTTTTAAAAAAAAAAAAAAAAAATTGTTTGCGTAAAGTTATAATTTGATTAATTTATTTATTTATTTATTCTTGAATTGGATTAGAATTTGAACGATTTTAGCAGTATTGCGACTTTACACCAAGATGTTGAAGCTTCGGAAAAAGAGCGTACCAGTGTTCTTGGTAGACGTAACGCAAGACGCGATTTACTTCATCAAGATATGTCTGATGGTGGTGATGAGGTATTAAAAATTTTAATTTGTATCTATAAATGTATATAATAAATTAATTATATATTATTTTATATTTAAAGGCTTTATCTTCTAAACGTGGTGGAAATAAAAATGGGCTATTTAACGGATTAATATCTGATCCGTCACAAATTAAAAAACGAAAAGATAAATTTAACATGGCAAAGAAGAATCTAAAAAGACAAAAACGCAAATAATAGACATGAGATGCATAATTTTTTGTCTTTTATATAAATTTATATTTATATATAATAAAATTTAATATGCCAAAATAACAACTAGATTGATTTTTTTTAAGCTTATCCACGCTTCTATAAATAACTACAAATAAATTTACCAAATAAAAAATGCTTTTTCTCTCAAACATCTAACCCCTAACTCGTTCCATTCCCCTGCATTAACCCATAATTCATTCAAAATTTCCAATTTACTCATTACGGATCCACCTTTCCATGCTAATAATCTTGGATCTAAATCCCTAGGTGATGTGAGAACTTCAAATTTATCTGTACTTTGCATTAGCCGTGAAGATAGCCTAACAATTTAAAAGAAAAATAATTATTTATAATTAAATATTAATGTGTTTTTTTAAAAGAAACAAAGGTTATAGATAAGATACCTTTCTTCTAGCATTTTATTCACTCCTGGAATAAGCCCACCTCCACCAACTACAAGTATACTCGAATAAAACTTTTTAGCTCTTTCTTCGGTCGCCGCAGAATTGATACCTTGAATTATGGCCTCATCAAGTGGTAGAACAGACACAGGATCTACAAGAAAAGCATTATGAATACGTGTAACCGTAGACGATACTGATGGAGATGCGGGTTGATTTGTAGGTAATATAGTTGTAGGAATAGGCGAGGGTATAGGAACTGTATTATTATCCATTCTAAGAGGTGTAGTCGAACCTGGACTGTCACGAGGTTGGGGTGATGGTGAGGGGAAAGAAGTTCGCATTTGAACTGCTTGCGTTGCAACAGAGAGTTTTGGTTTCGGCATAACTAATCCTGGTGGGAACTATAAAAAAAAATATATATATATATACATATATCATTATTTATAAGATGTGTAAACTTTTTGAATTATTCGCGTCCTTACTCCATTGTTAGTAATAGCTCCATCTGTAATATCATCAATCGTATAGGATGCGAATTTTTGAGGAAAATCGGTTCGTTTCTTATTGAAATTGATTACATGCGGGTAAAATAGGAGCTGTAATGGTAATTAAATGTAAATTAACTCAATATAATATTAATCAAAAGGATTTGTTCATATAATTTAATTCTCACCATTGGTGAAATAATCGCATCATCGTACGTCTTAATGTGATATTTCAATGTAGGTTTATTAGGGGCTCTAACATAAAACTCGTTTAATTGAATAGTAAGATTGGCCTTATTTTTTGAGGGATGTTTAAAAATTAGTCTCACTTGTAGCATGAAATACAAACATAAGTTAAAAGCATACTTCATCCAATGTACAAATTTTCTCTTTCAGTTCTTCAGCCAATGACCAGTCATATGCACGATTTAAATCCATATCAGAATATGGAAACTTGCTTCTTTTTAATAGTCTAATGAAAAAATTCGTGATGTCGTCACTCCCATAATGAAGGTATACCCTAAATTAAATAATCATAACCCAGTTTAGTTAAATTAAGGAAAATATTTAAAATTTTTAAATAATAAGGAATTACTATAACCTGGAATCGGGAATGCACATTCCATCTTCGACACACGTGATGGTAGAGGTTTGGGCTCCAATATCAACAATACATGCTACCGACATGCCAGCTCCAAAACTGACACATATAGATTCCTGTGCCACAAAAACGCGTCGGAAACCCATATATCGTAGCAACATTGTGATCATTTCCAGCACATATAGTCGATTGTATATGTCAGGAATAATAAGAATTACAGAGTAGATCTAAAGAATTTTCCAAGGCCATAAGCAAAAAAAAAATATTTTAAAAAATTTAATGCTAAAAATTTAATGAATACCCTGAAGTTTTTTTGAGAAATTCCAATTTTTTCTTGAATAGACTCAGACCAAATTGTTTCTAGATCCCCGATTACAGCTTTTATGGAATCGTAATCCCTGGTGTTGAATTCTCCATTTTGTATCGGATAAAACAAATTAAAAGAATCATCTGAATCGAGCAATCTAAGGGCCTGAATAATAATATTTTTTTTTTTTTAAAAAAAAAAAGTTATTAAAACATTAGATATTCTACTTAATTTTAAAACTTCTTTATACCTTTTCTCCTACATAGTACTCGGCATCCTCATCTACCAAAGTCCAATCGACTCTATAAGGATCATTATGATCCGCAATTATCTCTGGATGAACAGATTTATTAAATGAGTGAACTTGCGATTGTGCATTGGCAACAGGTCTCCGTTTAGATGCCTTTATCTTTTCTTTTAATTCTTTTTTTATTTCACCGACAGCTTGTTTAAAATGTTCCTAATTTCGTAAAAACGCAAGTTATATTAAAGTTTTCATCATCTCACATAGCATCAAAACAATAAATGAGGATTCTAACCTCATCTTCATCTTCTTCTTCCGTCGCGACCGAAGAACCCGCCGAATTTGAACAAGATTCGGTTTCTTTAGCATCCTCATCATACATTTCTTTCTTTTCCTTCTCCTTTTTGATTTTGACATGAACAGGATGAACATGTTCAGTATCGACTTCGACTTTGATTTCTTTTTTTTCTTCCTCTTGCTGTGTTTCATGCTCCTTTCTATTTCTAATTCTGCGTGCAATCACATGTGGAACAACAATAGGAAATGCCTCAGAAGCGCGACCGATCCTAAGGTATCTTGATCCTGGATGTATCACCAATACTTTCGATCCGATATTTGACTACGGGAAGTTTTAATTTGAACAATGAAATTTAACATAATTCTATTAGGTCCTTAATTATTATAAATAATTACTACCTCTAGCTCCTCTTCACTAGTTGTTTCCTCTTCTTCGTCTTCATACATTTCTTCTTCTTCACTTTCCTTCTTTTTACCAGGCAAATCTTTCCTTACTTCATCCCGATTGAAATAAGAAATATCGTGTCTTAAAAATTTCGAAGTAACATACTTTGTTACAATAGGTGGTTGAGCCGCAAAGTTAGTAAACTTTAGTTGTGGTGTGTAGTGTCTGTCTATACTATTGGCAGCTTGCATGTGTTGTAATTGTTGAAAATTGATTTGATTTTCTGAAAGTGATTGTGGTGGTGGTTGAGTTTCTGTTATGTCTGTTTCTTGTGTAAACTCCATTATTTATATATAAAAAAAATATTTAAACTAATTGGTAAAAGTGGTAAAGATAAAAATTGATTTTAAAATTTTTATACGATCTATTATTTATAATTTGAGTAGCGTTCGATGTTTTTACTGTATAAAGGTGCCATCATCGTCATATCTATATCGTAAATATTGAAACTCAATAAATTGTATAAATTGTGAAAACATATATTGCTATTTAAAAACATGTGTCAGAACAAAATTCACTACAAGAAATCTGCAAGATCAAAAAATGTAACAATATATGATTTTACTACGTTACTCAAAACAAAAGAATACAGCTGCTAGCTTATTCTATTTGTCGTACTGCAATATCACATGATCCATTAAACTAAGATGTAAGTTAACTTTAGATTTTTCAAAATGAAAAAATTTTAATTTAGGAATATTTAATATTATCAATATTATCAATTCTAAATTATTAGATTAAGTTGTATTTTTAGCATAAGAACTAGAATTACTAATGCAGTCAATTCTCTATAAATTCTAAGTTAAAAAATTAATACTAATTGCATTCTTTTCTCTATACAGTCAGACCTCTCTAAATGCACCCTCTATAAATGCACACCCTCTTTAAATGCACACAATGTTCTGGTCCTAAGCTTAGGACTTAGATGCTAAATGTACCCTCCAAGTTCTGCACATGCAAGAAGTTTTTCGGTCCTTTGATATGACAATCTGATCTCTAAATGCACGTCACGTGATTATTTATAAAATAATAGGACCCGTTGAAAATT